AACATAACAGATGAAGACTGGTCAAGTGGGGTTAAATTTGCTTCTGGGCTTTCTATATTCCTCTAACTTTTGTATGTTTACAGTACTAAGTCAGGCTGAAGGTCACATCTTTTTAGTTTTAACTTTGTGTCCACCTCTGAGTTATCCCTTCTTGATTCTAAATGAACCTACTTCCTAGATGCATGCAGAAAATCAGGGTTTGATTTCTTCCCTGGTAATAATGTGACCTTTATGTTGAGAAGTACCAGTTGGTTACCTCATATCCTATCTAATACAAGAGTAATATGCAAATTGACTGTCACCCCATCACACAAGATGGCTGCTCCCATGTGGTCAAAGATGGTTGCCCCCATGTGGACACAAGATGGCTGCCATAAGATAGCCAGGAGGGGAGGGCTGTTGGGAGAGGCCAGGCCTGCAAGGGAGGGTAGATGTGGGTGATCAGGCCTACAGGGGAGGGCAGTTAGGGGTGACCAGGCTGGCAGAGGAGGGAAGTTGGGTGTGACCGGGCCGGCAGGGAAGGGCAGTTGTGGGGGACCCAAGCCTTCAGGGGAAAGCAGTTGAAGGGGACCAGGCCTGCAGGGGAGAGCAATTAGGGGTGACCAGGCTTGCAGGGAAAGGCAGTTGAAGAGAGGGGACCAGGACTACAGGGGAGGGCAGTTGCGGGGAAGCAGATTAGACCAGCAGTGGAGAGCAGTTAGGGGCGATGAGGGTGGTAGGGTAGAGCAGTTAGGGATGGCTGGGTTGGCAGGGGAGGGCAGTTGGGGAGGACCAGGCCTGCAGGGAAGGGCAGTTGGGGGTAATCAGGATGACAGGGGAGGATATTTAGGGGCGACCAGGCTGGCAGGAGTGGTTAGGGGATGATCAGGCTGGCAGGTAGAAGCAGTTGGGAGCCAGCAGTTCTGGATTGTGAGACTGCTCCTATAGGGATCAGGCCAAAACAAGCAGTTGGACATCCCTTGAGGGGTCCCAGATTGGAGAGGGTGCAGGCTGGGCTGAGGGACATTCCCCTCCCCCTGTGCACCATGCTTCTAGTCAATGATAAAAGAAAAGGAGCTGGTGAGGGAAGTTCAATGGTGTTGATATATGGAATGATGGAAGAGAATTCCACATTTGTTAAAAGGCAGAGGTGTAAACATTTCTGAAACTCACTTGTTCCTTGTATTGTGGGCTCAACTCACAAGCATTTTTAAAAATTTGATTTTAAAAAATATTTTTTATTGATTTCAGAGAGGAAGAGAAAAGAATAGAAACATCAATGATAAAAATCATTATCAGCTGACTCCTGCATGCCCCCTACTGAGGATCAAGCCCGCAACCCTGGGCATGTGTGCTGAAGGGGAATCAAGCTCTGACCTCCTGGTTCATAGGTCAATCCTCAATCACTGAACAACACCAGCTGACCTCATAAGCATTTTTTATCTTTTTTTTTTTTTTTTTTTTTTTTATAGACTTGGCCCTCTGCTGGGCATCAGCAATATAGTTGGAAACACGGTTCTGCTCCTGGTTTCAGAGACTTCACTAACCAGAAGCCTGGATTTCAGCCAGACTGAGAAGGGCTGTGAGTGCCATGCTCACAGTCCTGGGGTTCATGGTCTATAGTTAGTGAAGAGCCACCAGGGAGAAGACTTCTCTGCTGCGGAGTGGGTGACAGATGTAGAAACTGACACTCACTTGCCGGCAGACAGCAAGTCAAACTTTCTGCCTCTCATGTCTGGAGAGGAAAGATAATAATAACTTCCTGGCCCATCCCACAGAGCTTTTATAAAGATCAAATGAAATCACATTGTGCACAGTGAAGTGCTCTTTAGGCGTCAAGGTCCATCATTAGGGCTGGTTAATAATCTGGATGTTTGGAGAACAAGGGAGGACTTGGGTGGTGGGCAGTGATGCTCTGAGAATGTGGCAAAATCTTTTGTCCAGAATGGGCGTATGTAGGAGGAAAATCAGGTCTTTGGCAAGAAAATTAAGAAAAGTCTGAACCATAAAATGTGATTTTTTTTCTTCTCAAGTAAAGTGTTTTTTGTTTTTTTAACTAAAATATGTTTTTATTGATTTCATAGAGGAAAAAGAGAGAGAGAGAGAGAGAGAGAGAGAGAGAGAGAGAGAGAGAGAGAGAGAGAGAGAGAGAGAGAAAGAAATGTCATTAACGAGAGAATCATTGATCAGCTGCCTTCTACACTGGGGATCGAGCCTGCAACTCGGCATGTGCCCTGACCAGGAATCAAACTGTGACCTGGTTCAGAGGTCGATGCTCAACTACTGAGCCATGCCATCTGGGCTCAAGTGAAGTTTATTGTAAGTAAACAGGGGACACCTGGAGGGTACAGACAGAGATGCACATCTGGGTGCAGAGAGAGGGAGTGAGCAGCCCAGAGATGCTGCTGCAGAGGCAGACTCAGGGCTGGTCCTGAGACCTCCATGGGAAGTGAGACCTGCCGGGGCAATAGCTGCCAGAGCACCAGACCTGACCAGGCATTCAGAGAACCTTCGAGTGCTTTCCTGAATCACTTCTTCCAGGGAATGCTTGGCTCAAATAGCTCACTAAGCCACAAGTTATGACTTGGCTCTTCCCAGCATTGTTACTCTTCTTATCTCTTGTGATTTCCTGAAAGTGTTGTTCCAAGAGGAAGACTTGTTTGTATCCAGGCAGCCTCAGGGCCTCAGGGCTTACCTGACTTTTTCATGGACTTTGGGACCTCATCTACCAACGCGGTGCAAATTATAAAGCAACATGTTCTTTTGAAAAGTGTGGTAAGTGAATGTAATATAAGTTATAGTTGGCCTATTCCCAGACCACAAATTCCATTAATTCAGCTCAAATTTGGGGATTCATTCAACATTGAAAGCATATATAGAAGGCCATCTGCTTTGAAAAAAACCAACAAACTTATTTTAGAATGTTTTCCCCTAATTTATAACATCTGGAAAAACCACAGAGAAAAAAATGATCACAGACATTTTGCTGAATAAAAAGTAATAGTAATTTAGTTTTTTTTTTGTTAAATCTCAGTATTATAGAAATACATTCTTATAATTATTACAGAAATAAAGTATGAGAGACAGCATGAGTCCTTCTTGAAAATGTATTTTGCTCTCATTTTTTTCAGTGCTTCCCGGTAAAGGGGAACTTCACCTCTGGGAGAATGAAGACTGGCAGACGGGGGACAAGTAAATCACTACATATGTACTGAGCACACACCTAACTTAAGTCCCATTTAATTCTCACCACAGTGATTCTTACCAAGTAGCTATAGTTGATCCCATTCCATAGATATGTATACCGAAGCCAGGAGAGTGATTTTTGCCTAAGGTCTCACAGAAGTGGTGGAGCTAATATTCAAGCCAGTTTACCTACATCAAACCTGAGGTCCTGCCTTAGAGAGTTTCTTGGGACTTTGGGTAGAGACTGGCTAGGAAGTAAAGGGCTTGGATAGCTGGGTGGATCAGTGAGTGGATCAGTGAGTAGAGGAAAAGCTGCTCCATCACAGAGACGAAAGGTCAGGGAGAAGTCACCCATTACCAAACACCACCCAGGCTCAGCCCCTCTCTCCTTCTTTCTTTTAGAGCAGGGCTTCTCAATCTGGGCTCTATTGACATGTAAGACCAGATAATTGTTTGTTGTTGGGGCTGTCCTCCGCATTACAGAGTGTCTTGTAGCATCCATGGCCTCTGTCTACCAGTAACAACCCTTCCCGGTCATAGCAATAAAACTCAACCCCAGACATTGCCGAATGGCTTTTGAGGTTGGGAATCCTTGGCCACCCCCGTTAAGAATCATTGGTTTCTGGTGACCAACCAACATAGTTTGCGTGGACTCAAGGGGTTCAGTGCTAAAACCAGGATAGGCGGGGCAAACTGGGATGATTGGCCACCCTACAAATGGAATTCCATCTCCTGCTTACATGAAGGCTGTGGTTGGGAGAAACGCCTGTGTGGATAACATGGTTGTCCTGTAGTCTTCCATTTTTCTAAGCTGCTGCTGTGCTAGGCACTTCTGCTTAATAGCCCTTTCTCTCCACCCAATTCCACGTAGCCTGCCAGGAATATGGGAAAGTTACCTGTTTCCAAGGGCTGTTTGAGTAACTGTGCGGGTCTTTTTAGGATGGAAGGAGACCAGAGGGAATGCTGGTGTGTGTGTGTGTGTGTGTGTGTGTGTGTGTGTGTGTGTGTGTGTGTGTCTGTGGACTGGGAGGGGCATTTGGGTGCTGGACTGCAGAGAGCTCATTGGTGCTGTCCGGGTGGGCAATGCGCATGTATGTTTACATTAGGAGTTAATGAATACTGGACGAGGGCAGGTTTTCAGCTCCGAGCTAACTTGGCCTATGACTAGGTAGTGTGCGCATTTCAATTTATTCGGTATTACAAAATATTTTTATGAGTTACTCTGATGACATATTAAGGGCATGTTCCTGAGATACATAAGTAAAAGAAAAGACGTGGTTTATTATTAGCATTATTTTTGTTGTGCTGTTGAGTATATATCAGCAGAAGTAATCAGTATTTTAGTTCTTTGCAAATTGACAAAGCACTTCCAAAATATGTCATATGTCCCTCAGCCTTCTGCTTTTAGTGTCATTGGTGTGCCCCTTTAGAGGGTGAGCACAGCAGAGTTCTGAGGGAGATAAGTAACGGGCTGAGGTCCAATGAGAGGTTTTGCATCAGGATCACTGGGCACCGCATCTGTGACCTCCATATTCCTGCATGTAAGTGCTTAGTCTATGTTGCTGTAACTATAAATGGTGAAACATCAAGTGCAGACAAGGAGGGTGTGAGTCAGCCCTACTGCCCTGACTCCGACAATGGCCCCCCTCCTTCTCTCTGGTCAGCCAGTGGGAGGATGAAGCAGGTTCCATGGGGCAGTGCCTAAGACCCATGGTGACACTGCCAAGGCTGATAACCTCGCTGATTCCATGCCTTCCTCTGTGCTCTAGGACACAGGTGTTGGGGGTGTGATGTGCTTGTGATTGATTGCTTTCATTTTCCTTGATTATGCAAACCGGTGGCTTTTGCCAGGAACTTTACCTCCTGAGGCTGTTCGTCTGTTCCCTCCTATTGGCCTACTGGTCTCATTATTTTGGGGAGGCGTATTTTTTCAAGTGACAGAGGAGTTATAACTGCCCTTGCCTCTTGAGACTGAGGTACCTGGAGTTCAGGAGCCCCACCTGTTGACAATGACAGCAGATGAGTTGGTTTTCTTTGTGAATGGCAAAAAGGTAAGCAGGAGCTGACTTTTGCTTTGGCTTACGTGCTCCCTGGAAAGGACTGTGTGTCCTGTGGAAGAGGCTGTTCTCTCTCTTTTGTGCTCTCTTCTCTCTGTCTCCCTTTAAAGGTGTGGCTGTGTTTGGGGTGACCTAGGGGAAAGAAGATGCTCTCCGGGCTAGAACAGAGTCAAGATAGATACTCAAGGGGCAAAGGAATGAGGGGAAGGGAAGCAGGGAGAGAAGTGTCTGTGGGCTTCCCCCACCACACCCCACCCACCCACAGCAGGAGAGACACTGGCAGGAGGCTGAGAAGGGAGGACAGGGTTCTAGGTGAGACTGGAGGTCACCCCCCACACTTCCGTTTCTGCATTTAGTCAAATATGTCCTAAGGCTTCTGTTGATCTCTTTACAGAGGGAAGGAACAAGAATGTGTTTTCTTGATAATATCAGGATATATGGTGTACACACCCTTTGCTTCTAATATTTCATGTATGGAAGTATAGCAGCCAACTTGTGGGAGTACATATACTGACATCTTGTGGCAGGCACATTTATTTTCATGAAGGGCAAGCTTGCCCCTGCACTTAGTTCTTCATATTAATATTGCAGATCCCCTTGATAAAAATGGACCATTTGGATTATCTTCATGGGTAAGGAAGGTGAGGGTGGGATGGGGCAGAGGGGGACTTTTTACATGGGGACCATGTCCTTGCAGCACTGGAAGGATGAGGAACTTTGCAAATTGTAATGCAGGTGCAGAGAGAGAGGGTGCAAGCACATTACATTGTCTCCATCTTCATCTTGCCCTCCCTACCCCGCTGCTGACTTGCTTGCATCTGCTTTAGTCCCCCTTTTGGGAATGAATGGGACAGTAAGAGGGATTGTTACACATTGAAAAGAGCCATGTGACCCTGTGGGTGCCTAATGTCCACAGGGAACCCCCACAAGGCAATTTTATTTGTTTTGTTGAATTGGCAGTTTAGAGAAGAAAAACAGGGTGGCTTCCCTGGTAATTTTCAAGAACTAAAATGTGCTTCATAGGACATCTAGTGCTTAAGTGTTGGGGTGTATCTGAGTGAGGAGCAAGAAAATTCCATGAACTACCGTATCATCAGTACTCTGAAGGCTGTGGATTCAGTGAGTGGTGTCACCGGGAGGCACGGGGGAGCGGAGTCAGCCATGCTCTTCTGGGTCCAAAATCGTCTTCCCATTCCAGTTTCTTTCCAGGATTGGCATCGGGCAGCAAACCAAGAGGTAGGGCGAAGCTTCCATGTTGGTCGTACCCAACATTTCCAACAATTTTGCACCCAACATTTCCAACAATTTTTTTGCATTCAGCAATTACACTGTATAGATTTAAGAAACAGTTGTTGAATTGGCTTTCTAGAATGGTGTCTTCTGTGGGATTGTTCTAAGACATTTTTACTTTGAATGAGCAGCTGGGCTTAATGACTTCCAAGGCCTCCCCCCCCAAGGTTGATTATTTTATTGAGCCATCAATTCCTGTGTGTAGGTACAAGCTTCTGTTCTTCTTTACAAATTGTATGCCCTGAGGCACTGGAGTATTTGAAGGGAAATTCAGCTTGGAAAAAATTGCTTTCTCATGAGTTTTATTTTCACTTGAAAAAAGCAACTTCAAATTTGTAGATGGTATTAGCACATCAAACTCTACCGTATATTATGGCCAGTTTTGGTGATAAATACCCACGTTTGAGAAACCAGTGGGAAGAGGACAGGCAGTGCAAGGAGTGGTGAGATAAAAGCAGTACTCTAAAAACAAGACCCAGCCAAAGAATCCCCTAACAAATTAAGGCAGGTGTGAGTAAGCGTGTTCCCATGTCAAATGTTCTAGACCATTTGTTCTAGGACATTATATACAGAAGTTATCAAACAAGGGGCCAGAACTTGGTGACTCACTCTTCAGTGTGAGCCTTCTACTCTCCCTGTCCTTCACTAGCTGGGGCCCTGGGGAGAATGTAAGATACCAACCATCAGGTACCCAGGGGGCCTTCTGTGGTGGTGATGGGCCTTGATGGCTGTTATTTTCACTACTTCTTCTGAACTAAAGTCAGAGTGGAAGAGAAAGAGCTGCCCAGGGTTTTGTTATTGTAGTGATAGTCTTTGGGAGGGTAGGATCCTTGCTTTTCAGAGCAATCACTCTCTGTTTCCTGGAGACTGTGGCATTTGGAGGAAGCTAGGGAGGTTTAGCATGTAGGGTGCAGCTGAAGGTACCCAATAGTGATCCCCCCATAAGAAGTCAGTGTCAGTGACTCAAGCCTCTCTCTCCCTCCCTCACATCATTGACATTTTGCAAGTTACTCCCAGCACTGGGAGTGTGGATATACATGGCTGGAGGCGTTGCCATTCAGGAGTTTACGAATTAATTCAGAGGTGGATTATGGTTAGGCAAAGTATTATATTCCAAAATGTATTTCACAGGAAACCATCCCCATGAGATACCCTTCTCAGATATTCTTAAACCACTCAGCCCAGCGCTGGCACAAAGTAGGTGCCCAGTTCATATGAGTGGGCTGAATAGATGAATAGTAAAAGCCCTAAAAAATCCTCTGGCAAAGAAATTTATTTTTTAAACTTTGTATTTTAAGTTTGCAGAAATGTTACAGGAAGGATGCAAAGAAATATTAAATAGATTTTTCCTACCTGTTAACATTTTGCCACATTTGTATTTTATTTCTCTCTCTCTCTCTCCATATACATACATGTATGTATTTATAGGCATGTACATAGATATATAGGTATATGTATTATAAGTACACAATTATATACTTATTATGTATGTAAATAATAGAACTAAATAATAAAGCATAACATCACTTTATTTCTGAATCATCTGAGGGTAAATTTCAGACATCATACCCTCTTACCCCTTAAACTAAAAATAAAGATATTCTAACAGAACCACCGATTTTAAAAATCAGGAAGTTTAGTGTTGACAGAATACTATGATCTAAAATCTATGGATTTTATGCAACATTATTTCAATTTTCCCAGTGACATCCTTCATGACTCCCCCCATCCTGCCCCAGCCCAGGATTGCATCTTGCAGTTAATTGTCAATTCTCTTTAGTGTCCTTTAATCTGGAACAGCTCCATAGCTTTCCTTGTCTTTTGGGATGTTGATTTTTATAAAGAGAACACGTTAGTTGCTTTTTTTGGAATGTTCCTCATTTTGAGTTTGTGCCATGCTTTCTAATAATTCCATCCAGAGTCTGCAGTGTGGGCGGGAATTTCAGAGAAGTGGTGCAACCTTCTTGAAAGGACATCATGTCAGCGTCCATGTTAGTGGGTGTGAACTTGCTCTTTGGGTTAGCTGGTGCTCAGGTTTCTGCGCTGTTAGGTTACTCTTGCTTCCTTTATCATTAGCAAATTATCTGTGAGAAGGTTCTCTGAGGCTGTAAATATCTCCATTATCAAACTTTCACTCACACTCATTTTATTATCCGTTAATGTTAATCATTCTCAATTGGATCAATTGTGGGACAGGTTATAAGATTTCTGTCATGTTATTAATTGGTTTTCTTCTGCCAAGAAAACTTTCCCTTCTCTCCAATTTGTTTCTTTCTTTATTAATTATGAATTCAAACTCATGAGTTTTAACTTTACTTAATGGATTATAAATGCATTTTGGCCATTCTTTTGGCCACTAAGGTTTTCTAAAACAATCTGCCTAATGCAGTGTCTTCTAAGCTCCCTTCCCCACAAAGTATTTTTCCTGTGGGATACCCACTGGCGTCCCATTGAGAGAGGATTCCATGGGGTTTTCTTGAGGAAACCCTGCAGCCAGGCCCTGAGAGTGGTACAGCCATTCTCGTTGGAATTCAGGGAGGTGGGCTTTGGCTGGGATGATATGGAAAGCCTTACCAGGGAGGTGTCCAGAATCTTCTGATAAGTCAAGACGCAGATGGAAGAGGAATGAAATGGTTGAAGACTTATAAGTCAGAAGGTAGATGGTATGTTTTCACTGGAGTACAAAGACCAGCTTCGCAGGGCAAGTAGGGGGTGGGGAGGCTGAAAATGAAGATGTGGGACACATTGAAAAAGGCCTTATCAGACAGCCTAAGGAACCTGAGAGACCTTGCTGGTCACTGAAGGCAGAGCAGGGAACTGCTGTGATGTGATGGAAGTAGAGCTGGAGGGCAGGAGGAAGGACCCTCTTGGGGAGAAGACAGTAGGTAAGGCTTTCACGTCCGTCTACGGAACAGGCACTGGGGATCTTTAGTTTGTACATTTATGATTTCTTCTCCAAGAGGAAAGGCATAGTTTCTGTGTAAACTTTGTAATCAGGACCTTGAATAAGCTGTGGGGTATAATAAAAAAAGAAAAATCATCCTATCTTTCTTTTTCCCTCAAACTTGTTTCAAGAGGTGAATTCTGGCATTTTGTTACCTCTTTGACTACTTTTGGTTAATTAAAAAACCCTGTGGTCATTTCTGAGTTGCCGAACACAATCTCAGGTCAGGACAGAGGTGAGGGCAGCAAGAAGTCTCTCTCATATGCATGCCCTCCATTTGGTCAAACAACACTTCATGTGCTTTGCTCTCTCTAACTCTGGGAGTGCATCCCAATCCCAACTTTGGCAAGATGTGGAAGCCATACCACAGGGCTCTCTACTGAAACCCTCATCACAAATTCTCTCCCTTAACCACCCCACTCACCCAAACCCTTTCATCCTTGATCATGTGTGAAGAGGCATGGAATGGTTTTCCATGGATTTCCTCTGAAAATTTGCTCTGGGAACTTGCACTTCGCTCTGTAGACAACCTCCTCCATTTTATTGGAGATCCCATTTGTGGCCCTTTGTTTGGAGAGTTCTCCTTTTTTGATAGGTGTTAGTGTTGTTGACTGTGATAGCTCAGTGCGCACAATACTCCGCTGTGAGCACAGGTCCACGGACTGGCTCTCCGCTGTCCGAGTGTGGACACCCCAGGAGGCAAACCCACAGCCTGCACGCTGCCACCTCAGCTGTCCCTGGCATTCACAGATGGGCAGCTGGAAATGAGGTGACATGTTTGATTTACAGAGGGTTTTGCCTCAGTCAGCCCAGCATGGCAGTTGCGACACCTAAGTGCTCATGGTGAGTCCTATTGTGGAACCTTAGGATTGAAGATGTCAGCACATACTTAGTTTGACTTGTAGTGAATATGCTCATTCTGATGGAATTTTCAAAAGAAAGCCCTCTAGTTTTTGTAAGATATTTAACACATCCCCACCAACTTTACCAATTATTTTTAGTAAGAAAATGGCTAAGTACTCCTTTGATATATTTTTCTGTTATTTTGTAGGTGGTGGAGAAAAATGCAGACCCAGAAACAACCCTTTTGGCCTACCTGAGAAGAAAGCGTATCCTGACTTTGGAGGGGGCTGAGGGAGAGGGCCGGTGGGACTCCTTCTGTGGGTAGCATGTCATTTTGTAGTGACTGCTGGGGAGGCTGTGGCATGTGGAAGAAGGAGCACTGGACTGGGGCCCTGGACACCTGCATTCTAACTGCACTTGGCAGCTGTGTGACCCAGGGAAGTCATTTGAGCTCTGGGTCTGCAATTCTCAGCTATTGAATAGGAAGATCATTCTTGATGCTCCTTAAGATCTCTTCCAGCAAAGACTCTAGTGAAGCCAATATTTGATCCTGGGCCTGAACAGCAAGCAGCTCCCAAAGGCACTCATTAGCCCTGGACAGCTTTAAGGTCATTCCCTCTCAGAGGAACGGAACTATCCTCAGCTCATCTCTGCCTGAGGCCTAAATGGGCTTCCTGGGGAAAGTTTCCAGCTCAGAGAAGGTGGAGAGAAAGTCTGAGGAAACAGTATGTGTTGGAGAAGGGAAGCCTGAGGTAGGAAACTATGTAGAGGTGCCACCCATTGTGGAAATGAAAGTGCTGGGAGGCTTGGGCAGGGGTCACCTAACAGGGATTTTAGATTCTGCTCTTCATTCAGTGTGGGAAGGATGCCTTTAAGAGTCCCCAAACCTTATTAAGATTTTATTTATTTATTTATTTATTTATTTATTTATTTATTTATTTATTTTTAAATTACAGTTGACATTCAATATTATTTTGGATTGGTTTCAGGTGTACAGCATAGTGGTTATACAATCACATACTTTATAAAGTGTTCCCCTCCCCCCTAATATTTTCACTGTCTACCTGGCACCATCCATACTTATTACAATACTAGAGGCCCGGTGCATAAAAATTCATGTTTTGGAGAGGGGATCCCTCAGCCAGGCCTGCCCCCTCTCATAGTCCAGGAGCCCTCAGTGGTGGGAGGCGACCCAGCAATCAGGGGAAGGTGAAGCCCCCATTACACTTCTGTTGCTGCCTCTGCCAGCAGCGCAAGTCTCAACTGGCCCTGGTTACCCTAGCCTTGGACCAGCTCTGGGTGGCTGGGGGCTGAGGGGACTGGGGGACTTCAGAGGCAGGTATCTCGCTGGTGCTGAGGGGACTGGGTGCCATAATTTTGTGGCTGTGGGCTCTGCCTTCTCTGAGGGCAGGGCAGTCAATCAGCATATTCCCTCCTTATTGGCCATGGGCATTGCTAACTTTGTGATGGTGTGAGGGTCAATTAGCATATTTCCTCTTTATTAGATAGGCCTATTGGCTCTATTTCCTATGCTGTACTTTATATCCCCATATTTTGTACTGAGCCCTTGAAATATTTGTTCTTTTAGGGTAGGAAAATATTCTGAGACCCTGGAACAAAAACAATAACAAAAATATAACAGGAGCTGACATTTAATGAGTACTTACTATGTCCAGGGGGAGTCCAAGGTGATTTCTGTGGGTTACCTCACTGGTCCTCATTGCAATACTTCCAACAGGATAAAAAGCTGGGACTCAGCAAATCCCAGAACAGATCAATGTCTCTCTCTGGTCCGAGTGACTTCATGGCAGCTCTGCTGGGTGGATGTGACAGCTGCCCACATGGTCAGATTTTGAGGTGCCCAAATCTCTTGACTCAGGAGATCACAGGACTGGGGGCCTAGAAGGCCTGGAAGACCTGACACCAAGAAAAGTTTCTAGTATTCAAGTCCTAGTCAGTGCAAAGCCCCATCCCTACCTCCTGGGTCAGTGCAGCCTCTCTGATGAGGAGGCTGGGTGGGTCTGCTGCCTCCCTGGTGGAGAGGCAAGTGTGTGACAGTGGATGGCTCTACAGTCGAAGCTCTGCCCAGAATTTCCCAGCAGCCCAGCAAAGACCCTTTTTCTCTGAGTTCGTGCTCCTTAACCCAGGACCATTCAGTGGGGCTGAGCGGGACCAAGCTGGGCTGTGGAGAAGGGCGCTGTGGAGCTTGCACCGTGATGATTTCCAAGTATGATCATCTCCAGAACAAGATTGTGTATCCTTTTCCTGCTGGCTGATTGCCCATGTGAGGACTATGAAGTAGCAGTCAGCTTGTGAGTGAGCGAGTGAGTGTGTGTGTGTGTGTTGTGTGTGCACGTGTGCACAATACATGTGACCTTTAAAATCCAATCACATTTCACATCCCATAAGATCCTTCAATAGGTCTCCATCACCCCCAGGATAAAGTCCAATCTCTTTGCTTAGCACACGAAACCCTTTACAATACACCCCACCTTTCCTCTCCAGTTTTCGTTCTCTCCATGGGCCCAGCACTCCATTCATCAGTGCATCCTAGTCCCTCCTGAAGGGGCAATTGTGCACAACTAACATTCCATTTCCATTAATTTCTTGGTCTTTGCGTAAGCTGTTTTCCAAGTCTGTTTGAATATCCTTTCTTTCAGGACTTCTGTACGTGGTTCCTTCTGGGAGGCACTGCCGTCTTGAGGACTCAGAAAAATACCATCTCCTCCAGGAAGGCTTTCTTGAGCTCCTAAACTGTGTTAGGTGCCCTTTGTCTGAGCTAGTCCCGTAGTGCCCTGTGCACAGCCCTCCTGAGCACCGATAATAAGTTATTTAAATTTCACCTTCACACTGGCTTGTATTTCCCTGGTTGACTGCAAAGGATTAAAGAACAGAGATTTCATCTTATTCACCTTTACTTCTCAGCCCTCAGTAGAGTGCCTAGTACATGGCTGGTGATCAATAACAGATCAAGTGAATGAAAGATGGATAAAGGAATGGATGTAAGCAAGCTCTAAGGGTTGGTATCTCATGTCTCCTGAGAAATGGGGGAGGTAGAGGTGGGTGAAAACAGGAAAGCAAAAGTGCCTGGAGGTAGTAAAATTGAAGAGGCGAAGGAAGGGCCCTGCAGAGAGAGGAGCACATGTTGGGCCTGGCACCTGCCAGAAAACTTCCCCCTAACTCAGCCTCCAGGGTCGGGCTGAGTCAGAGGCATCTGAAAGTGACCCTGGCTCCCGTGCTCCAGCTGGGAGGCATAGTGTGCCCTGCTGCCTGACCTCCAATGCAGGAGGGTTCAGGCCTCACCGTGGAGTGTGTGTGTGTGTGTGTGTGTGTGTGTGTGTGTGTGTATGAATGTCCTTTGTTCCTTGGTCAGAGTCTTGGGTGGAGAGTCAAGAACACATGTAGGAGAGGAAAGGACATAATGCAGAGTGGTAAGAAACGACACAGCATCACAGTCTCCCCGGCCCTGCACTCAGTCAGGTCCATCCTGATGGCCTGAATGGACAATGGAATGACCTTAATCTGGGGTTGCAGCCACTTTTCTGCCAATGCCTGCCTGGCCCCCATCTGCTCTTTGCACCATGTTGCAGTGACGACTGTGGAAGGGATAGGAAGCACCAAGACCAGGCTGCATCCCGTCCAGGTAACCAAAGCAATGGGAACTCATGATAAAGCTACAGACTTGCTTGGGGTTGTTGGGCTGTCACTTCTAGGCAAAGGAGGCGTTGTGACCAGGCCACTTCCCCATCCCCTTAGGGGTGAGGGGTGGGCTGTGAGGCAGGCAAAGAAGGAGGCGCCCATGCTGCTGCTCTCTCCTGTGGCGGGTGAACATAACATTGCATGACTCCAAGGGGACCAAGAGGTCAACTGGATCTGGTGGCTGGACAGTCCAGCTGCAGGGAGGAGAGGTTGGAGAACTTCCTCACCTTGAGCTTGAATATGCTTGGGAAACCCCCTTCCTTCCCAGATTCAAGATTCTAAATGCTCCCTGTCCCTTGATAAAAAGCCCACCTACTCCCTGCCCCCTCGAATAACAATTCCATTGCATGTCTCACCTGCCACCGCAGATAATACTAATATGGGCTGCTCCATCTTCATTAAATGAGGGTAAACAAGGCCTGAATAAGCGAACAGAGACATTTGAGTGCCTAAGGCTTTCTTCATGATGCTTCCAGACCCCCTGAGACTAGGTACCATGTAGTGAAACTGAGAGTGCTTTTGGGTTAGAGTGGGCAGTAGTCTGGGAGGTTTTCTGGAGAGAAGCAGGATGCTCTCGGGTGTCGTGTAGTGGAGTATGCATTGGAGCAGAGCACTGCGGGAAGAAAAGGCCATTATTTTCAGTGCTTTTTGTTTGTGGAAACCGAGGCAGGGAGGTCTTTGCAAGATTACAATCACAGAGGGTGCCAGAGCCACACCCAGGTCTTCATCTTGCCTTGACCAGTTGTCCAGAGCATGCCTTCCTTGGGCTCCGACATGAATGTGGGAGCCAGGGCCTCCCGTGGTGCAAGCTGGTTATACTCCTTGAGAGGAGTTTCTGGGACCAGCCAGGTGAACCAGGGCAGGGTGGGGATGGTATTGCTTCATGGCTGTGACTTCATTCTTAGCTTAGGGAGGAAAAGGGAAAATTGCTAAACTTGTTCAACCTGAAGGAGATGTGAGAAGGTTCATTAGGGCTTCTTATAATTATCCTTGAGATGAAAGAAAGAATGAACAGCTTACATACTGAGATCATATATGTGTAATTAGGCTAAAATTCTGCCTTTCCCGTGACGCAAATTCTTCTTCCCATATTCTTATTTTGGCTCCCAGATAAGCTGTAGAGCTAGATTCCACTTTTCCTTGTCTACTCAGTTTCCCCCCTCTCATGCTCTTATTCTCATGCTCTTATTTTGGCTTCCAAATAAGCTGTAGAGCTAGATTCCACTTTTCCTTGTCTACTCAGTTTCCCCCCTCTTTGTTTCTGTGACACTGCACTCCCCTCATTCTCCTCCCACCTCCATTCACTGGTCCTCTCTGTGGCTGCAGCTCCCTAGGGCTCCCACCCAGGCCCTTCCCTTCTCCATCTTCACACCCTTCCCGTGTGAGTTTAATACCATCTACATGTGAACAGTATGCATATTTATACCTTCAGCTTTGACCTCTCCTCAGAGGTTAGGTTCATATTTCCAGCTGCCTTCTTAGCATCACTACATGGTGTCTAGTTTCAAATGTAACAAAAGCCTATTCTTTCCCTACTTTCCTCCCCATCTGTCTTCATCTGAGTCAATGCCAAGAGCTTCAATCCACTTGATCAACACAAACATCTAGGCATCACCTTTGGTGCCTTCTCTTTTTTTTTTTTTTTTTTTTTTATATATATTTTATTGATTTTGTACAGAGAGGAAGGGAGAGAGATAGAGAGCCAGAAACATCGATGAGAGAGAGTCATCGATCAGCTGCCTCCTGCACACCCCCCACCGGGGACATGCCCGCAACCAAGGTACATGCCCTTGACCGGAATCGAACCCGGGTCCCCTCAGTCCCCAAGCCGACGCTCTATCCATTGAGCCAAACCGGTCCCGGGTGCCTTCTCTTTTACGCCACCCCCACTCCATCCAGAAGTAGTGTCTACCTCCCAATCCTACAGTGACACCTCCTTTTTCTCTCAGTTTCCCTATTACTGAGCCATCATCCTCTCTTGCCTGATCATCTGTTTCTAGTGTTGCCCCCTACCACCCATTCCTCACCCAACAGCCAGAAGAGTCTTTAAAAACATAAATTAGATCTTATCCCAATATGGCTTTCCATCACACCCAATATGGCTTTCTGTCACATTAGACCCAGAATAAAAATCTGGGTCCTGACCCTGGCTTATGAGGAACTGCATGATCTCTACCAGAATTTCTCTTGTCCCAGCGGGTTCTATCCACACTGACCCTTTAGTCACTCTAGCACGTCAGGCTTTGCACGTGCTGTTCCTCTGCCTGGAATACACTCTTCCCTGTTCCAAATTGTTATTAAATTCAACTTAAAAGTCACCTTTTCAAAGCCACCACTTCTGACCACTTTGAGGAGTCATGGTCACTCAGGGTCCTGTCATCTTGAACTAATTTTTACATACCTCTTATCTCCTGGATTTTCTTTTTTTGTGTGTGTCAATATTTTTCTGACTAGGACTTGAGCTTCATGAAACCAGAGACCTTATCTCTTTTCCTCACTGTCTGGTTACCTACCATGCCTCATGCATGATAGTTTCTCAGTAATTATTTATAAAATGAATGAATAGATATGCTAGGCACTGGGGATACAGTATTCTAATAATTTTACTTAATGTAAGTGCCAAGAGATACTCTTAAGAAACATAGTAATTATAATAATAATAGTGTGGAAAATCTTCTTATAATGAAAAATTTTGCAGGTTTGAATGAAAGTTTTGTGATAATCATTTCATATCACATATTCTATTTATTTTTTTAAAATGTGCTTTATTGATTTTTTTTTCAGAGAGGAAGGGAGAGGGATGGAGAGTTAGAAACATATATGAGAGAGAAACATCAATCAGCGGCTTCCTGCACACCCTCTACTGGGAATGTACCCCGGACCAAAGTACATGACCTTGACCATAATCACACCTGGAACCCCTCAGTCTGCAGGCCAATGCTCTATCCAATGAGCCAAACCAGCTAGGGCTCACATGTTCTATATGATCCATTTCTCAACTCTTATGGATGTGGAGGGTTACCACTTGACAATGGTATTCTAGTTTGGAATAAGATACATTCAGTTAGCTCTGAACAAAGGCTGGTTGAGATGGATTATGGGGCAGTGTATGTAATAGAAGGTGACACAGCTCTTCCATTTACTATATGTGTCTCTGGATAAATCTCTTAATTTCTGGACCTGCTTCCTCCTCTGCTCAGGGAAGGGAACAGAGGGAGAGAAGATGCTTCTGGTTCTAATAGTAACTCTCCTACTAATAATGAACACTACTTGAATTCCCTCTCTATGCCAGGTATAGGGGTAAGAGTTTTTGTGAATTATCTTATTGAATCCTCTAGACATAAGTACCAGGACAAAGAACCTGCAGCTCAGAGAGGCTTGGTGATGTGCCCAAGGCCACAGTTGGCAAGTGGTGGCACTGGGATTTGACTCTGTGCATCACCTGCTGCCCACACTGTCTGTTGATGTGGCCTGGCTTCAGTTGGGTCACGTAGCAAGTCTGAGAGGGGTTCTGCCATCACAAGTGTCCATGTCATCTGTCCCTTTTAGGAGAGAATTGCCAAAAGCCACGGTTCCCAGTGCGGGTTCTGTACTCCTGGCATCGTCATGAGCATGTACACACTGCTCCGGAACCAGCCCCAGCCCACCATGGAGGAGGTCGAGGATGCCTTCCATGGTACGGGTCCAGAACACAGCCCAGGAAATGGGGTGGCAGCTGGGGCTCTGAGGGAGTCACTGTGGGGTCCAAGTGGAAGCTGGGGATGGGCCAGGAGTCTGAGGCACTGCCTTAGGAGAAGAAGTTCAGCCTACTTACATGTGTTGGTGAAGATCTGTTAGAGGGCTGACCTCTCTTAGTTTGAGGGACACACAGGTGGGTTGGAGACAGCTTGCCTTGGTGTTAATCTTCCCAAGATGCCTTTCTGCCCTCCCTCTGCACTGGGGAGACCATTTGGAAACTCCACAGGGCCTAGTGATATCACTTCCTTCCATCTCAGCTTCCACCAGGACAGGACTCTGCAGAGCAAAGGCCCATATGAGAAGGCAGCCAAGATCCTGAGCTCTGGCAGGAATGGCTTCCCACATTCCCTCGGTGCAGGGGCCTAGGAGCCTGGGCCAGCTGTCTCTTTCTCTGAACTGAACAGAGAAGACTCCCCAACCATTCACCATTTCAGTCCATCATTTATTCAACCAGTTATATGGAGTCCTATCATGGGCAAGGCACCACACAGGAAACAAGGGACATGGGGGTAAAAGACACCATCCTTCCTCCAGGGAGTTTGCACTCTGAGGGAGAGAGAGTTTTACTCATAACACAAGGAATAGGCACCATGGAAGCACCTACCATTTCAGAAAGTCTTCCTGGAAGAAGTGGTAGATGTTTTGAAGCCAGTAGCACAAGGGAAGAGGAGGGGCATTCTAGGAAGAGAAAACAGAATATTCAGAAGGTGTCTGATCCTCGGGCTCAGCCAGAGCCCCTCACCTGCCCTGGAGCCTGCACTGACATCGCCCCTGTTCCTTGTCCCACAGGAAACCTGTGCCGCTGCACAGGCTACAGACCCATCCTCCAGGGCTTCCGCACCTTTACCAAGGTAAGTGGGCGCCTCAGGACATCAGTGGCCCTGCTCCTAAAGCAAACACACCCTGCAGTCTCAGTTGGGAGGGATGCCAAGGGCCTCTGCATGACAGAGAAGAGAGAGAAGATGGCCAGGTGGCAGGTTCCCCCACTGTGGCTACCTGGCATGAGCAGTAGACTCTGCCATTCTTATTCAGAGAGGGGTTTTCACCAATAGCACTGGGACTTTTTCTCCAGGAAGAGCCTGGGGAACTGGTTTTTGGAAGAGGCCTGGCGCCCCAGAGCTAATTCCCTCCAGGGCATTTAGGCTTGGCATCCTTCCTTGGAGACTAGCCTGCTCAGGCCATGGCATAGGTGCTGGATGACTCAGCACCCAGGCGCCTCATCCTTTCCTCTCCTGGCTGCCTTCTGCAGTTGGTGCTCTGCTGGGCTGATTAAACTGCTGATCAAATCGCCAGTTTTCGAAGGCCTGCAGTGTTCCCAGCATGCTGAGTGAGAAGCCACAGCCAGGTGTCTGAGCATCTCTAATAGAAACACAGGCACACAGCTGCCACCTGGCAAGGAGGACTCTCTTTTCTTGGCTTAATCTCCTCAGATTTTATCTGATTCTCACACTCCTCTCAGGGTGATTCAGGGTTCTGACAGAGTCAGCTTTTTGTAAGTGCATTCAAAAAATGAGTGTTTCATGCAAATAATTCTCAGGGGTGGGGATGGAAATGGGGCTCATAAAATGGAAGACACCACGCCCTGATGAGGAAAATAGGAAGTGTGGATTTAGAGAAAAATGATTGAAAGCTCAGACTTAGAGTCTGCAGACCTAGGTTCAAATCTCATTTCATTACTTAACTGGTTCATAGCCTTGGACAAATTTCCTTGCTTCTAAAATTTGGATTATAATAATGCCTGCCTTATCATGAATGTTGAAAGTACTTCTTGCAAAGTCATCAGAACAAGCCTGGGCGTATCTTAAGTATTCAGTAAGTGGCAACTCTGAATTACGATGCCGGTCCATTTCTTCCATGACTTAATGCTTGATCTCTATAAATGGTGCAGGCTTCCCTGAGAACCAGGAATCGTTAATCTTGACCATGAGTGCATTTCATAGGAGGCTGCTCAAAGAGAAACAATTTAACCAGCCTCCTAGTTTCTCAAAAGAGAAGGGCTTCTGAACGTAGCTGATAATTATGCTCCTTCTGAGGGTGGAACTGGGTCCTCACTCCGTTGTTTGGCGACACTTCCCTCTGTCAGTGTGGAGCTGAGCAGAGCTGAGTTCTCTGATCAGCTGACACGCCCTGCGTAGTGTCCTTGGAAGCTCATGTCCATGACTCATTAGAGACCCCCAGCCAGTATTCAGAGCCTTTCACTCTTTAAACAAATATCCTCACCTGAGGAATGAGGGTATTTTTTTCTTGGATGTTTAGAGTGAGTGGAAGGGAGCAGGGGAAGGGAGAGAGAGAGAGAGAGGGAGAGAGAGAGAGAGAGAGAGAGAGAGAGAGAGAGAGAGAGAGAGAGAGAGAGAGAGGAACTTTGACATGAGAGAGACATATTGATTGGTTGTCTTTTGCTCACACCCTGTCCAGGGCTGGGAATTGAACCTGCAACCAAAGTGTGCACCCTTGACTAGAATTGAACCCATGACCCTTTGGTCCTTGGGTCCCACGCTCTAATTAGTGAGCAAATCAGCCCGGCAGAGCCATTCACTCCTGATTTGCACACAGTTCTATCAAACCTGGCCATCTCGTCTTCACTAGGAAAGGGTGAGGAGCATCTTCTAGAGAGAGGCACACTATTCCCAGTGAGAAATGACAGTGTCCATTCAGCAGCAAGCAAGGAAGGGAAGGAACTATAAAAACAGCCCTGAGCTCAGTGTCTCCTGAGAAAAGTGGAAATCCCTGCAGGGGGAAGGCAGCCATATCCAGCCATAGTAGACCTTGTCATAGGGCACTGAACATTGTCCATCACAATAGTTTATGTCATAAACACGTCAATGAATTATCAAGAGCAAAAATTTAAGTAAGAACATGTTGGCATTCAATGTCCTGGGAAAATGTGTGTCTGTGAAATACATCCGTCCACCAGCACTGGGTGAGTGCGGCTGGTGCCCCTCACTTCACTTGGGACCTGGTGACTCCCTGTATCACTCCTTCTCCAAGAAGAAAGATGAGATAGGGCACTATAGAAACCTTTCCTTCCCTTCCTTCCTTCTTTTCTTCCTTCCTTTTCCCTTCCTTCCTTCCTTCCTTCCTTCCTTCCTTCCTTCCTTCCTTCCTTCCTTCCTTTCTCCCTTCCTTCCTTCCTTCCTTCCTTCTTTTCTTTCTCCCTTCCTTCCTTCCTTCCTTCCTTCCTTCCTTCCTTCCTTCCTTCCTTCCTTCCTTCTTTCCTTCCTTCCTTCCTGTCTAAATAGGAAGGGCAAGGGCAAGGTGGGGGTGGAGAGGCCCAAACCAGAGCAGCTCTGAGATCTGACGGCAAAGCTGTGAATGCCAGAGGGGCCTGTACTTAGGGCAGCGTTTGCAGAGGGTCAAGGAAGGGAGGTTTTCTCTCCCAATGCCAAGTCTGCCAGTGCCCCCCAGTTCTCAAAGGACACACCCTGGCCCTCTTGGAGAAAACAGTAGGTTGTGACTCATCCTTCGGGAAATGTCAGGATAGAAAGGTGTCTACTGTGACTCATGTGCAGAGGGGCTGCCCCCAGTCAGCTCCTCCAGTAATTGGTTGCTCTGAAAATATGCCCGGGCTGTGCCTGGAAGTTTCCCCCACTTGGCCTCTCAGCACAAGTTCATGATTCAGGAGTGTCTCCTGGGGTCTGGGAGTCCTGCTTTTTTTGGACACAGTAGTGAGGTGGGAGGCAGCAAGCTGGGCTCTCCTCTGTGCTGTGCTATTGGCACGCCAAGAGGTCCTGGGCAGGTCCTTTTCCCATCATTAATGGGTCATCAGACCTGTGCACTTCCCCTGGAACAGGCCCACGATGAGGAATAAAGAGAGCTGAGCTTCCTGGCAAGAAGTGTCTAATCAGCCGGGGTGATGCCCAGACACACTTGCTGGATACAGCTCTGGACCCAGCAAACAGAGTTGGACATTCTTGTTGGGAGCCCCACAAAGACTCCAACCTGGGAGGTGCCCAGATAAGAACTTGATTGATCTAAAAGAGGGGGCTCTTGAGTGCTGAGAGAACCAAGGGAATTTCTGCTTCAGAGGCTTCCTAAGGGAGCAGCATTGAAGAGGGAAATGGGCATAAAGAAATCCTATATAATAAAGAGGTAATATGCAAACTCACTGTCACTCCAACACACAAGATGGCCCCCATGTTGTCAAAGATGGCTGCCCCCATGTGGACACAAGATGACTGCCACAAGATGGCCACCAGGAAAGGGCAATTGGGAGGGTCCAGGCCTTGGAGGGGAGGATAGTTAGGGGCCACCAGGCCTGCAGGGAAGGGCAATTAGGGTGATCAGGCCTTCAGGGAAGGGCAGTTAGGGGCTATCAGGCCAGTGGGATAGGGCAGTTAGGAGCAATCGGCCAGCAGGGGAGCAATTAGGCATCAATCAGGCTGGCAGGCGAGTGGTTAGAGGGTGATCAGGCTGGCAGGCAGGCAGGCAGTCAGGCAGGGGAGCAATTGGGAGCCAGCAGTCCTGGAATTTGAGAGGAATCCCAGATTGGAGAAGGTGCAAGCTGGGCTGAGGGACATAGGGCCTCTAGTGTTTTGATAAAATAGGAGGACCTATCTTTATGGAGAAATTTTCTTAATATTAAGTTTCCCTGCTGTTTCTAGGAGAGATCTTATTTGTTTATTCACAAGTTATTTAATCGACAGTAACCAAGCAAGATGAAGTAGGTAAAGCAGAGGTCTCATCTCTATGGAAAGGCAAATGGATGGGATAGGCTTTTTACTAATACCATGGATGCTGAGTAGGTATCAGAGCTGGATTTAACTGGAAATTAATAATGTACGTTCTTCAGCTTCTGTGGAACTCTTTGCAAATATTTGTGTGTGAATGTTGGTCATCTCTATAGGATGGTGGGTGCTGTGGAGGGAACGCAGACAACCCAAACTGCTGCATGAACCAGAAGAAAGACCACACAGTAAGTGGGTCCTTCTCTCCCTGGAAATCTGGGGGCCAGTCGCACTTCAAAGGAGCCAGTGGTCTTGCTCCACACTCTTGGCAAGGGTGGCTGGAAGAGGAAACAGTTACCTAAGCCTAGACTGAGAGGGTGGTGACTGTGCACTTTGCTTTGGGTCCTCTGGCAGGACCTTCTGGTTCCTGCATCCAGGAGCTGCCTGGGGGTTGTGAGCGAGCTTTCTTGGACCAAGGGCTGCATTGGTGCTATGGGGCATTTCAACACGGAGATACTGTACCACCTCTGTTCCCTTTCCCAGCAGATCACCCCCTCTCCGTGTTTATTCAACCCAGAGGACTTCATGCCCTTGGATCCTACCCAGGAGCCCATCTTCCCACCCGAGTTACTGGTAGGTGATGCTCCAAGGTAAGGCCCATCGAGGCTCTCTGCCAAAATCCCCTGGAGACCTCTTTATTTCATACCCCCTGGGAACGTTGTCTTCTCCTTGTCCTTCAGGTCTCAGCCTGAATTTGCCTTCCTTTCTCTGACACCCAGGGGTCAAGTCCCTCTTTCATGTGCTCCCACAGGGACCCACATTTCTCTCTTTTTCACACGTGTCACTCTGAGGACAGGAAGTGGATCTCTCTGGTGCCCTGTGTATCTGACGTGCTACAGAAGTATCTGCTGGCCTCCTGGCTAAATCTAATGCATAAGCACCCAAGCAAATAGTCCATTAAACAAACAAACAAACAAACAAACAAACAAACAAAGCTGGATTCAAAATGCCTTCAGCTCTGCTTTAAGGACACCTCTCACACCACCTTTCTTCTCTTGATGAATTAGTTCCTTTGCTCCAACATGTAAGGAGAGGAAAGTGCAGATTTCCCAGAGGCTGTTGGCACATGAGGACTTCCTAAGTTCAAGGGTCAGAGAGAAGGGCTGTGCAGCAGGCAGCCAGCATATCCTCCTCTAGATTGTGCAACCTTGAGACCATCAATGTGATTTAGGGTTTTCTTCCCCAGTATCACCCCTCCCTCATGCACTGGGTCCAGCTCTGCATTGCATTCCCTTTGACCACCCTTCCTTTGCTACCCTGGCTCCACCCACACCTTGTCCGCTCTCCTCCTGGAGACAGTGGGGACAGTCCAGGTTACCTTGTGGCTAGTGACCTTTGGCAGGTCACATGACTTCCTTAGGTTTCTCCCTCATCCGTACAAGAGGCGGTTTACAATGTCTCTTTCACTGAATCTTCGGATGGCTCAGTGAACTAATGTCACTGAGTAAGAGCTGCAACCTAATTTCTGCCTCCATTCATGCAGTTTTCTTCCCTTATCTTTGACAAGTATTTTCATTCTGAAGTCAGTAATAAACAAGTCCACAAAAGAGTTGATCCAATGGTAACCCTGAAGCTAGGGCCATGGGAACGGCGGTGGGAATGGATTGGAGAAAAGGAGATGGCTAATTGGAAAATGGTATTTTCCAGAGGCTGAAGGACACGCCTCAGAAGCAGGTGCGTTTTGAAGGGGAGCGTGTGACCTGGATCCAGGCCTCCACCCTGAAGGAGCTACTGGACCTCAAGGCGCAGCACCCGGAGGCCAAGCTGGTGGTGGGGAACACGGAGATCGGTAAGGACATGGGACGATGCAAAGGCATTTCCTTTTTACCTTTTCCCTCTATTGCCCTGTGGGCGAGGCTGGGAGAGGTGCTGTGTAACTGAGTCTGAGGAATGGGGCCATTCTGTCCATAGAGTTTCTACCTTGATTAGCAGATTTGAAGTTTTTCTCTCAGATAATTTTCCTTTTTCTCTGAATGTTAAATGTTCGTGTCATTATTAGTTATAGCCCAGTGCTAATAATAGCTCAAGTACTGAAATCTGCCCATGCCTAGCTCTGTAACTTGGGCAAGAAACTTAATCTCCCTGTGCCTCTGATTCTTCATCGATAAACAGAAAATCACAGCATCCTCCAGGGCTGCTGTGAGGTTAAATGAGTTAAAATATGTAGTGCTTAGAGAGTTACTGACATACTTTAATGTCCCGTGTTTTCTAATATTGCTCCTACACACACACACACACACACACACACACACACACACACACACCTACACACCTCTAACTTCAGGCTTTCTGTTTCCCTCGAGGCATTGAGATGAAATTTAAGAACAAGCTGTTTCCTGTGATCATCAGCCCAGCCTGGATCCCTGAGCTGAATTTTGTGGAGCGTGGCCCGGAGGGTAAGGGAGGTTCACCGGGGCCCCAGAGGGGCTGGGATGCTGGGATGGGTCCCATTGGGGGGTGGGGGTTCTAGGACAACCTCCCCTTTGGGTCTGGTTGCCACGTGCTTATCCTGAAGCTGCCCTGCACAGGGGGGAAGGGACAACCTTCACCACCTTTCTCCATCATGGTAGGCATCAGTGGGCGAGGGCTGTGAGATCTCCAATAGTATTCTCAATCCTGGCTACACCTTAGAATCACTCACGGGGTCAGGGGCCCGGGGTGGGCAGGTGTGCTTGGGTGCTTTAGAAAAAAATATATTCCAGGACTTTGCCCACAGAAACCTGATTTTATTGAGTGGAGAACGACTGGCTTAGTGAAAGAGCACTCTGGTTGTAGGACAAGAGGCCTGGGGTTGAGTCTGGGATCTTTCAATAGCTGTGTGGTGTTGGGTGAGTCCCTTAACCTCTCTGGGCCAACTTTTCTTCATCGGGTTAAGGATGAGAGTCCTGGTGCAGCCTCACTAGGTTGCTGCGAAGCTTGAGACTGTGTCTGAAAGTGTTTTCTGCGCTGGGCAAGGGATGGCTTATCCTGAGAACGTGTTCCCAGGTATCTCCTTTGGAGCCGCTTGTTCTCTGGACTCTGTGGAAAAGACCCTAAAAGATGCTGTTGCCGAGCTTCCTGCCCACAAGACAGAGGTGTTCAGAGGCGTCCTGGAGCAGCTGCGCTGGTTTGCCGGGAAGCAGGTCAAGTCTGTGGCGGTGAGTCCTGAACAGGGGCCTGGAGGGGATGGGTGCACAGGGGAAAGGGCAACACCAGGAGTCTCACACTTGAATGGGTAGAACTGCCTGAGTGTTTCTTAAAGATGCAGATTCCTGGGCCCTGCCTCCAAGATGCTGGCCTGGAAGGGCTGGGTGGAGCCTGCAGGTGATGCTGATGCAGGTGGTCTGTGGGCCACTCCAGGTGACACTCACTTGGACTCAGTCTTCTCAATGAGGTTGGAGAGATGGGGCCTCCTGCCCACCTCCTTCCCCTTTCTGATTGGCCCAGGCTTTCAGCAGGTGGAGGAGAGATAAGTTAGAGAAAAGCCAAACCAGGGAGGGACACAGCCTTTCTGCCCTGGGGTTAGAACCAGAGGTAGACCCCCTGAGAGGAGGGAGTGCTCCACCTGCTGGCTGTCACAGTCAGCCTTCTGAGTAAACCCCAGACATTCCCACACAGTGCCATTTAAGGCTCATGATTTTTGATGGTGTTGGGAGGAAAGCTCTCCCTTCTATTCTATATTTTTTTTAAATGGTTTTTAAAATTAAAAAAAAGCAAAATAATCCACTCCATTCTCTACACCTTACCCCAAGACCTAACCACTTCTGGGTGTAGATGAGGAGATATAAACAAGCAATCTCTACTGAGGCCCCAGCCCAGTGGGCATCTACTCCCAGGGAGGACTTGTTTTCTTCCTGCAGCTGCTTTCTCACTCTTTCCCGTAGTGAGTACCCTAGGTCTGGTTCCCCCAACATTCTTTGCCAAGTTGCCAGGAAGCTCAGATCCAATTAGAACAAATCATTCTTCCTTAAATCTTTCTCCTCTTTGTCCTTGAACTTTATCTACTATTTCTGCTGTACTATGGCTTCTGTGATAAGCCACCTTAGCCCTTTCAGAAAAAGGTTGGGTGACATGGTGTTGACTTGGGTTAACTGAGGGTGGTGCACTGACTGCTACATTTCAGTGGTGGGCCCCAATGCCAGGCGGTCAGATCTCATGTTTAGCATGATGTTCGATGTTCTGACTGCGGAGCTCTCACTGCACCGGGCTGTGTCTCCAGGAGCTGGAGGTCGGGCCTCCCTCCACAGTTGACATCTGTCATCCTCCTGCACTGTGTTTGGGAGCCAGCTGGGTGAGCATGGGTTTCGGGCTGGGCTCTCACGCACACTCTCTGCTTGTCCTAGTCCATCGGAGGGAACATCATTAACGCCAGCCCCATCTCCGACCTCAACCCGGTGTTCATGGCCAGTGGGGCCAAGATGACCATCGTGTCCAGAGGTGAGCTGCCTCGTGCAGAGGGTCCTGGGGGAGAAAAGCCTCACAAGATGGGTTACTCCTGGAGAGACAGAGCCCAAGGACCTATGACCCCACTGTCCTACGGTTTAGATTCCTGGAAGCTACAAGGGATCACTCATGCTGGGGGCCAGGAGAGCTGGGCCACTTCTTATTAAGAATTCACAGCAGGCTCTGTCCAGATGCCTTACCTAGTGAGATGCTGGAGTCAGAATGCACCAGCTCACCACAGTGGATTGCTGGGTGGTCAGTGTTTGTGAAACATGGCCGTTATCAAAAATTAAGCTATATAAGCGTGCAAGTTATATATCGTAAGACAGATTATATTAATGACACAGGGAACGAACACTCAAAATTCACCACTTGCTAATTATTTTACTTCATTTTACTATTGTCTGTGCTGTTGAGGCTCCTTCCATCTATCTGTCTGCAGTGGAGATGCTATGTAGTGGTGCTAATATGCATCCTTCCTTGTCAGAGGGGCCCCAGTACCTCCCCTGGGTTGATGACTTTCCAGGAGGACGCACAGGCTCAGTGTATAGTCATGCTCATGGCTAAAACTCACTACAGAAGGAGAAATCAGTAAAATCAGCACAGGGAAAGGCACACGGAGCAAAGTCCAGTGGAAATCTGACACAAACTCCCAGGGTCTCCCAGCAGATCATACAGGAGGCACTTGACTCCCCCCACAGCAAGCTCCCTATGAGAAGTGTAGGCGGCGAGAGAACTCGTTAGGGGCTGGCCACACAGGTCTGCCTGGTACATAACAGAATCTAGAGGCCCAGAAGGAAAGCAGGTGTTCTGCATAAACCATGTTGTTTTTACAAACTGTGAGCCATTCTTATCAGGGAATGCTAGGAACCCTCTGCAGACCCACGTACCCAGAGGTCACCAATGGCTCATCTTGTAAACAGGCCTTTCATAGGGCCTGCTGACTCAACTCTGCCACGCTTTTGTCTAGCTCCACATCAGTAATGTCATTCTGGTAGTTTGAAATGGGCTCTGGTGGGAGTATTTATACCATAGCAAACCAAGGTTACACTCCAGCAGCTGATGGTTAACCATTCACCAGCGCACCATTGCTGAAGGATTTCAGATGGAGGGCCTTGACCCCAGCTGAGCCATCCACTCCTTTTGACCTTGGGCATCAGAGACCCAGATGCAGAAGCCCACTGGCGGATTGTCCTGGGCCTTCTCACATCAGTGCCTCTTCATCTTGCCTCTGTACAGGCACCAGGAGAACGGTTCCGATGGACCACACCTTCTTCCCTGCCTACAGAAAGACTCTGCTAAGTCCAGAAGAGATACTGCTTTCCATTGAGATCCCCTATAGCAGAGAGGTAAGATGCTGGGCCCAAATCACTCCTACACCCACCAGGCTCCGGACAAGGAGAGCAGAGTTGGCCTCAGGACCAACCTTAGCATCTCTCAACTCTAACACTGATGCTCTTGTCTCTGAACTTTGCCTTTGACCAGCCGTATTCCTCCCTGGACAATGAGAAGTTTTAGGGTAGGGAGCATACCTCATGGACAGAAGCTAGGTGTGTGATCCTAAGTGAGTCAGTTTACCTTTCTGAGCCCCAGTTTTCTTACCTGTGCAGTGGGCACGATGTTACCTACTGGGAGGGTGATTGTGAGGACTGAAAAATAATTCTGTAGGTTCCTGGTGGAGCCGGTGGAGATCACCAGCTGGTAACTATTAAAATAGCAACACAGTTTAAGGAGCACAACCTGCTGGCGAGTATTCCTCCCCAGGTCAGAGGAGACTCAATTTTGTCAGGTGAAGTGTGGGGCGTGTTTGCTAAGTGAAGAAGCTGCCTGTCAGTCAGACCTTTACCTTGGGCTTAACAAGATGTTTACTCACTGATCTTGCTCTGAGTGGATGAAGGTTCCAGCTTGTTCAGCAGATCAGGGCCCCTCTTGTTCCTTGGGACCTGTGGTGGCTTCAACGCGCGTGACTTTCGCCTCTCTCAGCAGCACATCATTCCATGATGGGCCTTGTAGAAAGTGAGAGGCTGGGGAACCAGCTATAAGGGACCATATTAAGAGTTTTGCACAGCTAGTGTTTGAGTGTTACAAGGTGCGTTTCACCCTGGCTAATTTTAACCTCTTTAATAAAAATGCTGATTAAATTAGAGCAATTACATCCCTGGTTTCTTAATGGTGCTCTAGCTCCTCCTTATAGACCATTTTGAGCAGTGATTCCCAGAGTTTTGTATTTCATAGATCGGTTAAAAAAATGTTAAATTATGCAGTTGGGAAAGGAGGCAAGAATAGGCATAGAACCGTTCAATGTTTATTTTGCCAGACAAGGGACATAAAATATCTCTCCTTAAGGAAAGGACATGTTAACACCCAGGATTAGGAGGAATTTCTCAAGAAGGAACAATTGAGCTGACACTGACATTTCCTGGCAGCCCAGTGAAAACATCACAGGGGACTGGCACAATCCTGGACATGAGCAGCTGGAACCTGTGTCCCAGGACCAAGTTCAAGGACTGGGCTCATGGCCCCAGGGCCTGTCTGACACCAGGAGGTGGAATCAGCTTTAGCATCAGGAGTGGCCTCTATGGCTTCTTCAAACAAAAGCCTGTGGTCATTTCGGACCTCAGCAGTGGGTCTCCTGCTTTCTCCAACAGCCCTTCCCTTACACCTTCCTGTTGGGAGGTGGATCCAAGTTTGTGCTCCCAGGGTGAGTTCGAACCTCAAGCAGAACCTGACACAGAGAGGGCTGGATAGCACAGGGTCCTTACCTGGAAAGCAACTCACGCTTTCCTCCTGTCCCCAAAGACAGAGCTGGCTTAGACCCAGGACATAGGTGATCAAAGCACAGAGACAGCCACTGCCTCATAGGGTGGTTTGTTCTTTCGGCCAGGAGGCCAGATTTCTAAGCACTGCCCATAGGCTTGTGGGAGAGCCGGTTAGGGAGCCAGTGAGGAGGCTGCAAGCTGCAGGCTGTTTCAAACACTTCTGGGCATTTCTCTGTATCTGCTTGAGAGGTAGTCCAGTCAACAGAGGTTTCGGCACAGCCCCTGAGAGGCTGTGTGGTCTGATATTTGTCACCAGAATGAGGAAGGTTCTCGGGCCTGAGGGGTCTTTGAGAAGACTTGGTGAAAACACTCTTACTTCTTTCCACTGTTGGATTGAGAGCACCCGTTCTTCTTTGTCCCTGACTTTGTTTCCTGACTAATAGAGAAAAACCCTGACTCTTCCAGTTTTGGGGAATGCTATCTGGAACTTCTGAAAATGTGATGGTTAGGCCTCAATCATTGATCCCTGTCACCAGCTCCTTGCTGATGTGCCATGGTATTTTCTCCTCACCTTACCTCACCTCACCTCACCTCATATCCCGTGTTTCAGGCTCACCATTTGCAGTCCTTGCAAGACAGGGTGGGAAACTGGTACCTTCCTGTTCTCTTTCAGGGCGAGTTTTTCTCAGCATTTAAGCAGGCCTCCCGGAGAGAAGATGACATAGCCAAGGTGACCTGTGGCATGAGAGTCCTATTCCAGCCAGGAACCACACAGGTGAAGGAGCTGGCCCTTTGCTATGGCGGGATGGCTGACAGAACCATCTCAGCCTTAAAGACTACTCGGAAGCAGCTGTCGAAGTAAGAGCTTACAGCAAAACAGCCCTGCTGCTGATATTTGCTACTGTTCCTCTCCTGTGCCTATAGCAGTATTACTATTGCTGCTACTACTACTATTAACATGGTTATTACTACTGTGATTTACTGCTATTACTAGTAGCATAATGACCAATAGTATTGCTGCTACTGTACTATTACCATTGCTGCTTCTGCTGCTACCATTTTTAACTGCTATTACTAGTACTACACAGCTACAACTATTATTACTACTAGAGGCCCAGTGCACAAAATTCGTGCATGGAGCGGGGAATCCCCTCACCCCAGCCTGCACCCTCTCCAATCCAGGACCCTTTGGGGATGTCTGACTGCTGACTGTCGATCCCTGGGATCAGGCCTAAATAGACAGGCAGACATCCCTCTCACAACCCTGGACTGCTGGCTCCTAATTGCTTACTTGCCTGCCTGCCTAGCTGCCCCCAACTGCTGATCTAGTCGCCACGAACTGCCCCCCTCCCACACCAGCCTTATTCCTCCTACTGCCCACCCCCCACCGGCCTGGTTGCCCCCAACTCCCCCCACTGCCAGCCTGGTCACCCCTCATAGCCTCTCCACCAGCCTGAGCCTGCCTCCTACAGGCCCTGGGTCACCCCTCACTGCCCCCCCACCAGCCCAGTTGCCCCACACAGCCGGCTGTTCAGTTGCTTGGTCATCCCTCACTATCCTTTCTCTGGCATGGTCATGGGCAGCCATGTTATTAGGGAGTGAGGGTTAATTTGCATATTACTTCTTTATTATATAGGATTGTTGCTTCTAGTGCTGTTACTCCTAGTAGTGGTATCACTGCTGTTGTGGTTACTATTTCTTTTACTACTACTATTACTACTAGTGCTTTTGCTATTACGGTTACTACTACTGCTTCTTTTACAACTTCTATATTACTTCCTTTTCTACTACTACTATTACTATTGCTTCTTCCAGTACGACTACTAGCACTGCATCTGCTACTGCTAGTATTACTACTATCAGTATTGTTGCTGCCGCTAATGCTGGTATTGCTATTAATGATATTACTAGTGCTATACTATTACGATGACTACTACTATCACTATAGGTACTATATGAGGGCAACTGAACCAAGCACTTCACTGGCACTGTCCTATGTAATCCTTTCTATACCTGTATGCATAGGTAAATCTTAATGTTGGAGTTTGGTTTCAATTCTTGACTCCAACACTTACCAGATGGGTATAAAATAAGTCACCATGCCTTAGTTTTCTCACTGGCAAAATGAATATAAAAATTTCCCTACTATATATTTTAATTTAAATTTAAAAAGATGTTTCATAAAAAACACCTAGGACAGTGTAAGAACTTAATAGACTTAACTATTGTTTTTGTGGTCTTTTAAAATTGGATCTGTTTTTAGCCGGGACCGGTTTGGCTCAGTGGATAGAGCGTCGGCCTGTGGACTGAAAGGTCCCAGGTTCAATTCTGGTCAAGGGCATGTACATTGGTTGCCGGCACATCCCCAGTGGGGGGTGTGCAGGAGGCAGCTGGTCAATGTTTCTCTCTCATCGACATTTCTAACTCTCTGTCCCTCTCAATTCTTCTCTGTGTAAAATCAATAAAATATATTAAAAAATAATAAAAAAATAAAATTGGATCTGTTTTTAAAGAGGAGAGAGCTGAGGCTCTAGGAAGTAAGCAACTTGCCTAAAGTCACACAGCCATGAGTCTCTGAGCCAGATTTCAAACCGAGATTGACATGATTCTGTGCTCACCGCCTGCACAATGATTCTGGGGGCAGGATGGGAGCGCTCTCTCACACCTGCTCTCCGGCAGTTTCTGGAACGAGAAGCTGCTGCACGAGGTGTGTGCAAGCCTGGCGGAGGAGCTGCATCTGCCCCCTGATGCCCCGGGTGGCATGGTGGACTTCCGGCGCACACTCACCCTCAGCTTCTTCTTCAAGTTCTACCTGACGGTGCTTCAGAAGCTGGGCAAAGAGCACCCAGAAGATGTGAGTATGGAGCCCGGGCAAAGCATGGACTCTCTGCAGCACTTTTGTTTGGGAGTTGGGTAGCTGGTGTGGGTGAGACAGTGCTGTGGACCAGGTTGTGAACTTGCTTCTTTCCTGTGGACATGAAAGGGCAGAGGAGCAAGAACTGGGGACATAGCCCAGGGAGCCACATGGAGATGGGATCCAATGGGTGACTGAGAGGCAGAGCCCTGGGCTGGGAGTCAGGGGCATGGGTTCTTGTTCCATCTGTGTCATTATCTCATGTAGGAACTTACATAGCTCACAACTCCAAGTCTCAGTTATAAAATCTACAAAAGGGGGGTGGGTAGACCAGATGATCCTTTAGCTATACAGCGGATACAACTGTGGTTTGTAGTTGGAATGGGAGTGCAGAGAATGATGAGAATGTGGAGCGTGGAAGAAGAATTCAAAGTGGGGCTTCTCCAGCCACTGCAAGGATGTGCATTCAGGAGAGGGTGCTGGCTGATGTGGACCCAGCTACCAGGATGAGTTCAGCAATAAGCACTTACTTTGCACCTTTTAGACAGTAAGATTGTACTGGGCACCAGGGGGCAGCCGAGGGTGGAGAGAGCATGATCAGTGAAGGCCAGTCTAGCATTATAACTGCTGAGATGGAGCCTGAGGAGCAAAGGGGGGGGGGGGGGGCTTCACAAATGTGGGGACAACAGAGTCAAATTACTCTTTTGAAAATCCTCACGAGGCAATGTTTTCAGATTATATAAGTAATAAAGACTTATTGTAGAAAACTTTAAAAATACAGAATTATATAAAAAAATCACTCTCAAATCCCAGAGAAAATCACTGCTAATAGTTTTGCTGCTGCTTCTGAACTTTCCCCTACATTTATCTGTCCATCTGTCTCATTCTGTTTGTTCTCTCTCTCTCTCTCTCTCTCTCTCTCTCTCTCTCTCTCTCTCTCTCTCTCTCTCTCTCTCTCTCTCTCTCTCTCTCTCTCTCTCTCTCTCTCTCTCTCTCTCTCTCTCCCTCCTTCCTTCTATCCATCAATATATCTATCATCTTAGATCATTTTTATCTGGATATATCATTTCCTATATAAATTTGAGGTCATGCTGCATGCAGTTTTATTTCCCCCTTGAGTCCATTGGGATTATATTATGAACATTTACTATATCGTTAATTATTTCCCACAGAATTGAGGGGGAAAAGAAAGACTTTTTCCAGGAAGGCCGGTAGGAGGATAGCCAACAGAGAGCAGCATGCTTAAAGGCAGGAAGGATGGAAGCCATTAGGTGTGTGGGTGGAAGTACGTGCCACTCATTACACAGGGGGCACGGTGGGGTAGAGAGGCAGAGGCTGTGAGTGAATACTGCGCTCCCAGAGCCCCCGGTCAGATGTTGAGACAGATCCAGCCAGTGTGAGAAGGAGTGTCCAATGAGGAGATGAGGGGAACAGTTGTTACCTTTACCAGTTAGGGGACAACCAAGGTTGGGGTCAATGATGGAAATAGTCAAGGTCACCTTTGTTATCTTGCCTCCACAGAAATGTGGCCAACTGGACCCCACCTTTGCCAGTGCCACCTTCCTCTTTCAGAAAGACCCTCCGGCCAACGTCCAGCTCTTCCAGGTGAGTGGAGACAGTGTATGGCTAACATCAGGGGCCCTTGCAGAGTTCATCAGATGATGCTGACTATCGGCAAATGACTTACTCGAATTGCACGTAGGTGCTGAAAGCTCCGTACTGTTGTGCATAAGTATCCAGGGAAGAAAATGGGAACTATGTTAAGTTAGTGAATCTATTTCCCCCCTTACTCACCTAAATTTCTCTCCTGGGATTACTTTCATCTTCACCTGCTCCTTAAAGGGAAATTTCCCTCCCATTTTATCTTTTCTGGCCCCTCTGTGGGACTAATATGCAGAGTCAGGAGTTCTTTGGATCATGTAAGCAAACAAAACAGAACAACAACAAAACCAACATTCTATCAGCAGAAGTTTTTTGAGAGGTACTGGCGAAAGGGTCAATTTTCCTAGAAACATTTTGGATACTGTGGGCCATTTAGTCTGTGTTGTAACTCCTCAGCTCTGTCATTGTGGCACAGCCAGAGGCAATACGCAGATGAATGTGTAGTGTTCCAATAATACTTTCATTATAAAAACAGGCAGTGGGTCAGATTTGGCCCATGGGCCACAGTGCACCACCCCCTGCACTAGAATGTAGTGTGTGAACTCTGGGGCCCGGCGGCCTGGACTGGATTCCAACTCTGCCATTTCATTACTTTGGAAGCTTAGACAGGATTCTCAATTCCTCTGTCTTTGAGTAAGCCAATTATTCCCACGATCTGGATAGTGATGGTACCTCTTTCATGGCATAGTTTTGAGGATTGAATGTATCTGTAAAAGTAAATAGCTTAGGTAGTTCCCGCATATAGTAAACATTCAATAAATATTGGCCATTACCAGTTTTACTTAAAACATGAAACAGAATTTTATTATGAAATGAACAGATGTTAGAACATTTTGAAAAATTTAGAAAAGACTAAAGAAGAAAATAAAATTCACCCCAAATCTTACCTCTAAGAGAAAAATCATTATTATATTTTTGTATACACACCAATTTTTTGTATATATGCACATGTATATGCTATATTGATAACACATGCTCTTTTTTAAAAATAAATTTTTGTTGTTCAGATTATTACAAATGTGTTCCTCTTCCCCCCCCCCCCCAATTACTCCCCATCTACCAGGATCCCACCCCACCTCTTTCCTTTCCCCATCCCATTGTCCTCATCCATAGGTGCACAGTTTTTGTTCAGTCTCTTCCCGCACCTCCACTCCTCTTTTCCCCGAGAATGGTCAATCCACTCCCCTTCCATACCTCTGATTCTATTATATTCATTAGTTAATATTGTTCATCAGATTTTTTAATTCCCTTGGTTTTTAGATTCACTTGTTGATAGTTACCTATTTGTTGTTCATAATTTTTTCTTTATCTTCTTCCTCTTTCTAAATAACCCCCTTCAGCAATTCATATAATTCTGGTTTGGCGGTGATGAACTCCTTTAGCTTTTTTTTATTTGTGAAGGTCTTTATCTGGCCTTTGATTCTGAGTGATAGCTTTGCTGGGTAGAGTATTTTTGGCTGTAGGTTCTTACTATTCATCACCTTGAATATTTCTTGCCATTCCCGTCTGGCCTTCATGGTTTCTGTTGAGAAATCAGCTGTCATTCGTATGGGTGCTCCTTTATAGGTAACTACCTGCTTTTCTCTTGCTGCTTTTAATATTCTCTCTTTGTCTTTTGTTCTTGGGATGTGTCTTGATGTGTCTTGATGTGATCCTCCTTGGATTGCTTTTGTTTGGGGTTCTGTGTGCTTCCTGGACTTGTAAGTCTATTTCTTTCACCAGGTGGGGGAAGTTTTCTGTCACTATTTCTTCCAGTATTCTTTTGGTATCTTGCTCTCTTTCTTCTTCTGGGATCCCCATAGTTCTGATGTTGGTTTGCTTGAAATTGTCCCAGAGGTTTCTTACACTATCTTCACCTTTCTGGATTCTCTTATCTTTTTGCTTCTGTGGAGGAGTGTCCTCTGGCTCTTTGTATTCTAAATCTTTGTCTTGATTCTTGCGATCTTCCAGTCTGTTTTTAGGACTCTGTGTAATATTTTTTTTTTATTTCAGACAATGTTTTCTTCACTTCTAGTTGATCCCTTATTATTTCTAGTTGCTCCCTTTTCATATCCTCATAGGTCTCATTTATTTTATCGGCCTTTTTAAGGATATTCTTGAATAACCTTATAACTGTAGTTTTGAACTCAATTCCAATCTTTTCTTTTCCTCCATCTTTTTCCTTTGTGTCCTGCCTCTTGCCTGCATTTTAGTTGTTTCCCTGATTTGATGGAATAGTTTTGTGTGCTAGGTATTCTGGCAGAGCCCAGTAGCACAGCCTTCCCAGTTACTGCGATGGACAGTCTTGGTGTAGCACTTTGTGGGCTGTGTGTGCAGTCTTGTTGTTAAGCCTTGCTAATTGTTGGTATCACTGGGAAGCGTTGATCTCCAAGCCAATTGGCTGTGAGGATCAGCAGTGTCTCAGCTAGGAGGGCTTCTGTCCATGCTCTTTTTTTTTTTTAACTATGAAATTCAAATCATTGTTACATATACACATACACAATGCTTTATGCCCTGTTACACTTAACATGCACTTCCTTCCTTCTGATGAAAATTCTTCAAAAGTATGTTTTCACATTTGCATATTATTCATTGTACCCAATCCCCAGTGAAAGGACACTTAGGTTCCCCTCTTATTTATTTATTTATTTTTTTGGTCCTATATGGGGTGAGCCTGTGACCATGATGATGACTTAGTGTGTACATTTTTGTTTCCTTCTCCTGCTCCCCTCCTGCCCCTCTGTTCTCACTCCTTAGGGTTGCTTTGCCACCTGGCCTGAGACTCCCCATAGTTTCCCTGGGCCTGTGAGAGAACAGTGTCTCCTCCCTGACCCTCAAGCTCAGCCTGACTGCTGGCCATGTCATTTCAGGAGGTGCCCAAGGGTCAGTCTGAGGAGGACATGGTGGGCAGGCCTCTGCCCCACCTGGCCTCGGCCATGCAGGCCTCTGGGGAGGCCATGTACTGTGACGACATCCCTCGCTATGAGAATGAGCTGACCCTCCGGCTTGTCACCAGCACCCAGGCACACGCCAAGATCAAGTGAGTGTAGTAAATACACTTGGAAAGGAGGGCGCTGGGAGCGGTACTGAGAGGTTCCCTTGTCAGACCAGAGGGGAAAATGGGGATCATCTTAAAACTACAGCCTGGAGAGGAGCCCTCCTTGGGTCTTACCATGGCATGGATGTGGGAACGGGTCTCCTTGTCATTGGTCTTTCCTCTGCTTGCACTCCTAGCCTAGGGAAAGATTGCAGAAATGAGAAACTCTTCCAGGTCCCTGAAAAAAGTTTGTTTAAGATGATATGGTTGCCAGCCGTGGGCTAAATTCATTTGTCTTTGCACTTGTCTTGAGTCCATATTGAGAATACCATGACTTGCACTGTCTCCACTCAAAACAGCTTTGCTCTCTTCCAGCCGTGTCTGAATGGGTATGGGAGGGTGAGGTGGGGGGCTCTGAGGTAATGCAGTGATGGGGCTCTCCCTGCTGCCAGCACCTGGAAGGGAGTGCAGTGGAGCATAAGTGGACCTGACATTGGTGCTCTTCACAACTCAACCTCAGTCCTATTCTCGCTACACTGCTCTCTGGCTGGGTGGCTTTGGACAAGCTCTTTAATTGTCCTGAGCCTGAGTTCCCCCAAATGTAAAGTGGGGACAATGACAGTGACTTTCTGGGGCTCTGGAGATAATTACCTATTTGAAAAGTGGTTGGTATAGAGCAATTCCCATACCTTTCTCTGAAGTGCCTCTGCTCTATGTCCCCATGGGGTCATGGGCCAGAGTGAGCGGGACACAGTTCAGATTGTTATAACTGATACTCTCCATGCTTTCTCCCTTGGAGGCCTGAATTGTCTAATTATACCCGGTGTGCCCTACCATTCTGGGATAGCTCTGTGAATGTCGGGAGAGAAATTTGTCTGTGTGACGATGCTCAGGTCCATTAGATGAGTACAGCAAGG